TTGCAGAAAAAGCTAACTACTCACATTGAAGGATATCAGCTTATGTAGATTTTTTTCTTTTTATAAACTTTTGGTAATATTACAATTTTCTGTTGATTTACTAAGCTATATTAAAGCCAAGCATATTTACTTAAAAATGGAACTTTTTACTAAAAAATCTAAAAATCGAAGGACTGAGAAGACTGGATGTCATGAAATTACAAGTGGAGACGTTTCTTTGAAATGTCTAATAAACTTTTTATAGAATATAAGGTGTGAATATGAGTTATCTTTTATATTTATAATGATAGTTTAATATATCTATATATGTTACTTCTTTGAACTTCGTTATGAGTTCTGCAAATATTCTTTGTATTTCCTTATGAGTACTGAATATTTTCTAGAAATGATAAAAGCAATCTTTGTTGAATCGGTAACATGCATTTATTATTTGTATTATACACTTTTTTCCTATGGGTACACACAAAATTTTTATATGGACACTTCCGTACTAGTATCATTTGATCCATATTTTCAATTGTTAACTGGGTCAAAATATTGAGACGACTCAATCTATTTATCACACTTCTTTGATATCATCGACATAAGTTACGATAACATTAGTCCTGTCCTAGAAAATAAACTGATAAAGTGGAGGGGGGTTCCTAAATGATTGTGATTGATAAATGAATGTTGCTTTACCCCATTTAAGGATTTTTCAACCAGATAAAGAAATCATTCACTTAAGGTCAAGTGTTTATGCATAATTGCATTAATAACCAACGCCCAACGCAGGACGGGACCCTTTTTTGAAAAAAAAAGATAATATCCAAAAGACCGATGACAATTACTTTAAATGCTAAAGACTTAGGTAGTGAACTGTCACTATCCAATGTTAAACCTTTTTTGACGCTGCACTGGGAAAGAGACTGAATTTAACCTACAGGTTTCAAGAATGGGAAAGGAGCATCAAACCCTAAGGGTCCATTTTGTACCTTGGATGGTGTACTGTAGAACTCTTGAGTCCGTATACTAGTACCGGTATATACGAAGTTGAAGGAACTGTTAAAACTCTGCTCCATTTTATGTTATGCCATTAGACACGAGGGGGGAGGGGGGTTCTCAACTTTAATACATGTAAATACATAAAGTTTAGAAGGCATTCTTAATTGATTACATCGTGCAGCACAAGTAATTGAATAAAAGCAAAGCCATTTTACGACGCTATTTCATTTTACTTAGAGATGTATATTTCAATGCAATCGTTCTGAGTTATATGCATTGACTATTTACATGTATATGGATAGTAAACATGTACTTGCATTGATATTTTTATGCTATTAATTCTTTATTTTTTGCAATTGTTGAATTTCTTTTCTTAATTACTACTTCAGTTTTATTTAATCACAATCAAAATCCAATCAGTGCTTTCAACATTTGATACATAACTTTTAGAGTTCAATAAAAACTTAGAAACCTCATTTCTAAGATGGTTATTTTATGCGTAAAATAAGTACCACATCTATAGAAATGATATACAATGGCAGTATAATTGTATATGATATAATACTTTTCAATAATTTGCAAATCAAACTTTTTTCAGCACCATACAATGTGAATTTCGTAAAGATTTACGTTCAAAATACGCAAAATGTGGATGCATTAGAATTCTTGTCATAAAAAATATCTTAAACATTAAATTTTAAAAATCTTCGAATTTATTACTTAGGTCTGATGTATTTCCGACATAAATAAACATTTTTTTATCATTTACATTCAGAAACATGCATAGAAACTTGATTTAAATAGACCTATCCTCAATTTTTCTCTAACTGACAGCCATTTTTTATCTCTAAATCACGTGACTTAGATGATCGATGTTGAAAAACAAACATCAAAATCATGAACCAAAATGATTATAGTTATATAAAATCACATTTCAAAGTGATTTTATCGTAGGCCGGAAAATGGCCTTATAGAGAATGAAGCTTTGGATTACCTCTTGTGGTCCCACCATAACCTTGACACAGGTTTATGATTTTAATAAATGAAAATCTACTTGCGAATGCTTCCATATTGATATATTTACATTCAATGTAATTTTCCCCATGTAATCCATTTGAAATCAACGACTTCAAATTTCTATAACACACGCGAAACCTAATGTCACAGCGCGTTAGAATACACAGTAGGAACTATGCATTTTCAATACTCTAGGAACACCAAAATGTACATCGTTTTGACACAATTTAATGAAAAAAATAAACACTGTTAAATTAACGTAAAAATATAACAAGTGTGCGTTTAAAATTACCTTGTTACTTTTTTCCTCGCAATGTTCGTTAGCGTTATTTAACTTTGCGACGTCACAAACGGCTCTTACGTCTATCAAGCACAACAGTTTTGAAGGGCGCTAAATTCACATTAAAAATTACCGAAACAAAGAGAAGATTTTCAAAGATTTTTCCTATATATTTCTATGTAAAAATTTGATACCCCATTGGTGCCCTGTCCTTCCCCCGGGGGTCATTATTTGAAGAATTTAGAATCTACACTATACCAGGATGCTTCCACATCAGTTTCAGCTTTTCTGACCCAGTGGTTCTTGAGAAGAAGATTTTCAAAGACTTTTCCTATATATATCAATATAAAACTTTGATTCCCATTGTGGCCCCACCCTTCCCCCGGGGGTCATGATTTGAACAATTTAGAATCTACATTATACCAGGATGCTCCCACATAAGTTTCAGCTGTTCTGGCCCAGTGGTTCTTGAGAAGATTTTCAAAGATTTTTCCTATATATTTCTGTGTAAAAACTTGATTCCCCATTGTGGGTCCGCCCTTCTCCCGGGGGTCATGATGTGAACAATTTAGAATCTACACTATACCAGGATGCTTCCACATAAGTTTTAGCTTTTCTGGCCCAGTGGTTCTTGAGAAGAAGATTTTCAAAGACTTTTCCTATATATTTCTATATAAAACTTTGATTCCCAATTGTGGCCCCGCCCTTCCCCCGGGGGTCATGATTTGTACAATTTAGAATCTACACTACCCCAGGATGCTTCCACATAAGTTTCAGATTTACTGGCCCAGTGGTTCTTGAGAAGAAGATTTTTTAATGACCCAACCCAATTTTTGTCTTTTCTTTATTATCTCCCCTTGCGAGGGGATATGTCCCTTCATTTTAACAATTTAAATTCCCCTTCACCCAAGGATGCTTTGTACCAAGTTTGGTCAAAATTGGCCCAGTGGTTCTTGAGAAGAAGTCGAAAATGTGAAAAGTTTACAGACGGACAGACGGACGGACTGACGGACGGACGACGGAAAAAATGTGATCAGAATAGCTCACTTGAGCCTTCGGCTCAGGTGAGCTAAAAACGATAATGAAAGGAAAAATTAGAGAATGTAAATATAGGCATTGAATTCATATTTTGGGATGTCTTCGGTCCTAAACGCGGAACGGAATACGGAACGGAAAACGGAACGGATCGGAAAACGGAATATATTATTTTGGATTAAATCACTTAAATTGCACAAATTTTATCATAAACGATAAATCTTGTACACATTCAATCCCCCACTACTAAATACAAGTTGATTTTGTCATGTTCAGTCTCTTATTTACAAAAGTCGCTAACATTGCAGTTAATAGAATCGAATTAGAAAAGGGGAGGGGGGGGGGGTAAACGAACTTGAAAAGTATTAGACAAGCAAAAAACACAAAAAGAAGACAATTGTTTGATTCAGGAGGGGAGATAAAACACAAAAAGAAAGCAATTGTTTGATTCAGGAGGGGGGATAAATTCCAACTCCCAACATCTTTCAGTACTATTTTTTACGCTAACTTACTACATAATATTAACAAAAAGGGTGAGAATGTGAATTTGAACGAACAATTCCGTAGTAAAAAGGTTATGACGGGGGGGGGGAGGTATTTGATATCTAAATGAACCATGGAAAGAGAAAAAAATGTTTCAAAAAATTATCAAGATTACGTTTAGGGCAAACCATTACGACAAGCTCGAATAAACATCTCTTATACACACTGGTTGTTAAAATTTCATTCAAAAATAGAGTCCTTTTGTGGATGGACAAAGTTGTGGTAGATATAATGCAGACTGCAGAATCTTTGCATTCATTGAAGTTAAATTTTGTTTGTTTGCGGCACATATGTGTGCATGTTTTTTTAGGGGGGGAGGCGTATATCAATGACCCCGTAAATATGAGTTTGTTTTCCCGCTCATCGGAAATGTCTTAGAAGTTATAATAGATCTGCCCAACTTTTTGTGTCCAAAATTAACATAAGGTTTAATAAATCATTTTTTTTAATGTGGCTCTAGGCCCCTACACAGACCCGAAACTGCCACCCCCCCCCCCTTTCATGACTCGCGAATTCGACACTGCGTGCACAATCTGAATAGCATAACTAGTTATTTTTGTCTTTTCAGACATTGACATTAGAAACAAATTGAAATAGGGGATGGGGGTCAGAAAAAAATTCCAACATACAACAAATTTGACAAGCAAAAAAAAAAGGAGGATATATCCTTTGCCCAAACTCGAAAATCCTATTTCATGTGTGTGTGGGGAGGGGGGATTTCTTTCAGTAGCATTTTTTCCACGGAGGGTGTGTATGACCCATTAATATATAATAGTTTACAATTAATTCTTATTAGAAATGACTTTTACAACAAGAATATTGCTCTTTTATTTGATTTATATTGAATCTATGTTATTTGTTTGACAACAAATTTTCCGTTTTCCGTTCCGTTCCGTTTTCCACTCCGGGTTTTAGCAACACCCTTTACCTTGCTGTTTTTTAGAAGATTTCTAAAAGGTGTTCTCGTGTTAAGAATTTCAACTTTCATCAATATTTGTTGCCATGATTTGAACAAATCTTAATCTACCTTAGTGCTACAGAGTATCAATGTTTTTGTAGTATACAGACCTTTCAATTCTTTTCAACTGCATTTTATTGCCACCCCCTAACCTTTGCAATAAGCTTAAATTTTACACAAAACCATTGTACTTCTCTTTTATTTGTCTTACTTCAACATAAGTAATATCAGAATGTTCATTTTGTTAATATTTTGTTTTTCACTACACAATACATCCAGTTTTCTACGATCTTTTAAGAAACATCTGTGGATCCTTTCAGTACTTTGATTATCTAGATGCCGCTGAATGTCCTGAGGTTTCAGAGGAGGGACTTCCCGGGATATTTCTTTCCTCTGTGTCCTCCCCCTCATCACGTGACCCTTTATAAGATTCCCCCTCTACAGGTCTAGAGTTATGTCCCCCTGACCTGACGTCCTCATCACTCCCACTCGCCAATGGCGACTGTTCCCGTAGCAACTGAGCGAACTTCTCATGTGGAGGACTTTCAGGGGATTTTCCCTGCTCAGAAAATTCCTGTCGAAATAAGTTTGCAAGATGGCGGGGTGGGGAGTTACTTCCCTTGGCAGACAGAGAATTATCACAGTTATTTCCCCTGTCACTTACGTCACCAGAGTTTGTAAATGTTGGTGGATGTCCACTATTGGCATGGTCACCCCCATGGTACCTCTGTAGAATCTCTCTGATCTGGACGGAGGAACGGTCAACATTGTCCATACACATTCTAAGTTTGTCCTTGTGGTGAGAGGTCATAAGGTCATAGGACAGTTCTCGGGCCGTCTTACACAAATGGATAGAGGCGGACACAATACTCATACAGGCAGCTGTCAAAAATAAAGGTATATCTAATTATTATCTCAATACTCATGACATACAGGCAGCTGTCAAAAATAAAGGTACATCTAGTTATTAAATTAATACTCATACAGGCTACTGTCAGAAGTAGAGGCATTTCTAGTTTTTATCTCAATGCTCATACAGGCCGCTTTCAAAAAAAAAAGGTATATCTAATTATTATCTCAATGCTCACACAGGCAGATGTCAAAAATAAAGGTATATCTATTCATTATCACGGATGACAATACTCATACAGGCCGCTGTCAAAAATAAAGGTACATCTAGTTTAATATTATATTAAAACTCACACAGGTTACTGTCAAAAGTAAAGGTATTTCTAGTTTTTATCTCAATGCTCAAAAATAAAGGTATATTTTGGTGTTCCCTTGGGGCAACTTGCTTCTTCGCACACTCGTCGTTCGGGTGAAGATGCCAGAGTTTGAATTTGTGAGGGTGAAAATGCAAAGCCGGGAAGACGAAGGAGCGAAAGTGTGAAGATGCAAAGGGGAAGCGCCAAGATGCGAAGGCGATCGAGAGTGCAAGGGTGCAAAGGCTAAGGAGTGATATTAATGTTGCATTTTCACTCTCACACCTTCGCCGTTACGTATTCGCACTTTTGCTCTTTCGCCTTTGTGAATTCGCACTTTAACCTTGGCAACTTTGCACATTCGCCTTTGAATTTAATTTCTATGGAGCTCTTTTTCTTAAAGAGTTAATTTTAGTGGGCCCTTGGGTGTTATTGGTACGCATGATAGAAAAACCACCAAAAATGCAAAGGTGAAAGGGTGAGGTGAAAATGCGAAGTTGCAAAGGCAAAGGAGCGATACCAGTCTAATACTGGATACTAGTATCGCTCCTTTGCCTTTGCACTTTCGCCCTCACACATTACCGTTGCATTTTTATGATTTTCACTTCTTCGCCCTCTCAATTTCGCACGCTCTCTTCTTCACCTTAAAGGCCAGAGTGCGAAGGTGCAAGTGGCCCCATCAGAACCTAATAGTATATCTTAGACTAGTTATTATCACGATTTCAAAATAAAGTTCAATTTAATATCAATTGTGTATAAAATACTCTTACACTGTTTCAAGATATGTATAAATTTATAAAAACAGAACAGTATTAATACAAATAAGAATTTCGATTAAAAATGTTACTTATACATAATCCTTAAATACTGCATTGCAGTCAATGAAAAAAAGAAATTTTTGAAAATAGTTTTAAGAATATTATTTATTAGTATGATATATTTTAAACATAATGATATCAACATTAAATAAAGCAATATGAAAAAGTGACTTAGTCATTTAATCAAATTTGATGAGCAAGAGAATGAAGTACAATCATGTATTATATCCAAACTTCTTAAGGATGTACCATACATATAGAAAGTCCTTAAGTGAGAGTGCTACAGTTAAGGAGGTCTCTATATGTCTGTAAGTGATATATTCCCCTACTATACAATGGGTGTGGTCCTAAATCTACACGATCCTGTGAAGCGCAGTTAATGGGTGTGGTTCGAAACCTACAAGATCTGGTAAAGTGCTGATAATGGGTGGAGCCATTCCAATGCAGAAAAATCTCCTTGGTGAATTCGAAACATCAGGATTTGTAAAATTGTAATTTAATTTGGAGAACTTACATTTTCATTAGGGACATAAAGCTAAATTTTAAATAAAATCAGTTTTGTAGATCTTTAAAAAAAAATCATTATTCAAGCATTAAATTATCAAATTGTTACATTAATGTTTTTATATAAATTCCATCAATATCTTTATCCAACGAGTCAAGTACCATTCCCACTATTGTTCTCAAAGTCTTGTATTAATATATATATATATGTTTATTGAGACTGAAAAATATGTGATTTATTGTCCATTATTGTCCAATTTGAATTTCCCTAACTTTTACGCAACGTAGCCATACTATGACGTCATAGATTACTTCCTTCCCTGCAAAGACTCTCATGACGTCATGACGTCATAGTTAATTATTTTCACCTGTGTGACATCGACTGTGAACTATTTTTTTTATATATATATATATATATATATATATATATATATATATATATATATATATATATATGTATATATATATATATATATAAAATACATGGTTACTGTCTTGAAATATAAGCGATATTTGGGCGAGGGTAAGAAAACGTGATAGAGGGCGAGGCTTGCCGAGCCCTCTTACGTTTTCGACCCGAGCCCAAATATCGCTTATATTTCAAGACAGTTATCATGTATTTTGTTTATCCTGCAACAAAATTTTACATTTGAACGTCCAAAAGAAGCTTTTTCCGACTGATTTAGACACATCTCTGCAGTTGAAACTATGACGCCATGGCGTAAACATATACATGACGTCACAATGCTTTTAGAACGTCGGAATACATGCACGAGGCTTTATAAGGGCAGTGACCGGATAAAGCTTTGGTTTATTAGGTTACCTTTATTAGGTCAATGCAAGGGGTAGTTGCAGGATAAATATATATATATATCCAATGAAAAAAAGTCAGAAATCACAAATCTCGAAAAATCATTTTTACCGTTAGCGCTTTCTGCCTAATGGCTCTTCAGACAGTTAAAAGTTAAATATAAGATTGCTTAGTAACGTTCATAAGCACGACGTCAAGTATTGTCCATTGTGACGTCATAATAACGTTAAAAGGTAGCATTATAATTCGCACCGTTACAATCACTAAAATAAGCCAAAAAACATGTAGAAAATAACTGAGATTAAAACTGAAGTAATTATTTTCTGTTAAGTTTTGGGTTAAATAGTTTAATGAAGTAGTCCTCCTTTGCTACTCTGGATATTTCACAGTCATTGTGCATTTTATAAAATGTTAAATAGGACCCCGCAAAAACTTTTTTTTAAAATTTCAATTCAATCTAAATGTACCTGTAGATTTATGTACAGGTGAATTGGGACCACACCCTTGATCATCTCCAGCTGACATGAATTTAATTAATGGCCCTCCATTCTTTGGAAAATTTGTGACATTATTTCTAACTCCTATTTTATTTCAAATTGACTTTCAAATTATATGATGATAAATTGGGGAGGGGTAAATTTTTATGGAGCATTCACAGGCCAGGTGTTGTTCATTCTAGGTCAATTCTAACTAACTGGGACAGTGTTGTCCCTAATACTGGGGGGAGGGGGTGCAAAGATGAGATCCTTAGCTACCCCCCCCCCTCCCCAGTTGAGGAAGAAATCCCAAGACCCCATTTATATTGTTTCAATGCCACCTGCTAATTTAATGATACAATACTGGATTATAACTTTTAGTGATTATCCTCTGATACCACACCATCTCCCTTCCATTATACAGTAAAATGTGCCAACATGTTTATAATGCATTGATGAAAAAATCGAAGGGGGTTTTCATTCCTTGTGGGTTTTAAGGAGGAATGCCACACCAAAGATGAGATCCCTAGCTATCTCCCTTCAACCCCCCCCCCCCCCCTCAGTTGAGGAAGAAATCCTAAGACCCCATTTCTATTGTTTTAATGCCACCTGCTAGTTTAATAATACAATACTGGATTATAACCCTTTAGTGATCATCCTCTGATACCACCCCATCCCCCTTCCATTTTTCAAAGAGAAGAAAAACAAAAAGACAGAGCAAGAAAGAGAAATGACTCCATATAGACATACGGTAAAATGTGCCAACGTGTTTATAATGCATTGATGCAAAATTCGAATGGGGTTTTCATTCCTTGTGGGTTTTAAGGAGGAATGCCACACCAACTTTTTATTTTATAGATCTTTGAATATTTCCATTTCTAATTTTTCTCTCTGTGATAACTCTTTGAAAGTTAGCGGAGTTAATTTCTTGATAATTCTGCCGGAATGTAAATTAGGCAGGTCAATAGGTCAGCAGCTAAGGAGGCCTAATATCATGCAAATCTTAAGCGACTGCCGTTGTGTTTGACGTCAGTGGGCGAGGACTACTGACATTGGGATGGGAGTCCTCATGTAATTTAAATCTATGTTTGCATTTTAAAAGTCTAAATCTGCAACTTTATTTTATAATGAATTGGAAATGTAAGGAATCACTGTCTAGTTAGTATAGTATGCCAGGGACATCAACAATAGTGGGAAACATGGGATAATTTAATAATTTATGCATAACGGGCTTCGCCCGTTATGCAAATTATCCCAATGGCATGTTTCCCACTCTTGTTGATGCCCTGGCATACTATACTAACTAGACAGTGATTCCTTAAATCAACCTTTTTAAACAACGGTTTCAGCATTGAACAAGTCGTGTTGAAAGGCCGACATTAGTTCTTTATCATTCAAAGTCCTGAAATATATCACTTATTTCATTGAATGAAAATTACTTTGCTGTATAACATGTATAATAAGCATAAATTTATTATAAAATTGTTCACACTGACCCTGTTTTAGAGTACCAAGTTCATAACCATGCACTAACTCTGTACCAAATCACAGGCCTTTTGGTTGCTACACTCAGATGTATGAGAGAAATTTGGCTGTTTATATAGTGAAGTTGTAAACTAAGTACTTCTGTACACTTACCAAGAATGAACTTCAGTCTGTATATCTTTGGCTTTTCTAAAATTGAGTTCCATTGTACATTTACCAAGAATGGACTTCTTTATTCCTCTGACCTTTTTACAACCAAGTTCTTCTGTACACTTACCATTAGAATGGTTTTCTGTATATCTCTAGTTATTGTTCACTAACCAAGAATGGGCATCTAATATATCTATACTGTACACTTACCAAGAATGGACTTTTGTATGTCTCTGGCTTCAGGGGTTAGAACAGCCTCTTTACCGATGAAATCTTCCTCTGTGGCGAAACTGACGAGGGCTTGTGCCGTAGACGTTACTGGATCACAGAAGTTAAGAAATCAAGAATGGTGGCGTGTGTTAGGATGTGATTTGTAGGTTTTTATACTAGCTATAAGACACCCCGCGGCACAAGTCACACTCTTCACACACAGCTTAAACTGGTCCCGAGTCCCTTCCTCTCGAACTTTCTCATCAGCTGACTTACAAATATTCGTTAACACTGATATATGTTTAGATATATTTGAACACAAATCGATGATTAGCTGAGGTGAAAGGTCGTCAATCCGAGTCTTCTTTAATCGAGTGCAGCTTAATTTAATTTCTAATCCCGCTAAGCATATAGAATATCTATCTACGAGCCCCGGTATAGCTTGACAACAGTCCTTAAAAGATATTGCACAAATATAAGCAATGTGACTACATAACTCCATGAATGTTACCACAGTGGAGGTTAGTTCGGTCAGGCCCTCGCAGATTTCCACCGACTTTGTTGTAATCATGTGAACGTAATTAATGACACTCTTCATTAATGTCTTGATTGTCTTCGTACTTGTTACGATGCGCTCACTGATCTGCGAGATCGTGGACTTGCTAGAGACAGTGTCTGTCCTGATGGGACGAGCATCACAGGACAAGATGAGGAGCTCCGCGACGGACTGTAGCGTACTGTGACATCGTTCACACGTACCTGTCAATGTCCGAACACTGCTGTAACTCATGGTAAAATCTCATAGCTTTCCACTGTGGTAAAATGAAACGGTACATAAAATTAAGTTCAAACAGCTGATGCCATTTTCTCCCCTATGGCGCCTCATAAAACACAAATTAAAATAAAATCAATGCTTAAAATTTCAAAGTGCGTTAAATTTAAGGTGGAATATCCCTCTGATAAGAGAGATAACTCTTCTGATAAGAGAGATAACTTTCTTCAGACATTTTGTCATGAAATTCAGTGAATTGTCATTTCAGAGTTTCCAAGTTTCATTCATTGGAACCATTATATAGTCAACTCAATCAATCTTACTCTTTGGTACAAAATGTTGATTTATAGTTTCTATTGCTAGTATGTACATTATTTTTTTATAATAATTTACTTAAAACAATTATACTCAGTTCTTTTAAACAGTGTAAATTGAGAAATCTCTATCTCTTAAAGTATAATTCTTTTAATTGTACAGAAATTTCAGATGCAGTATTGTTTATAAACATTTAATTAATATTTTGTTTCATTAAAAAATATTTTCAAGGGCGATAATGGAACGATAACTCTTGTTTATGGATGCGTGTTATTTTACATGCACAGAAAACAATTTGTAATTGTGATTTAAAAAGCAGCGCTTCAGTATGTTTTCTAATGGGAATTAGATAGGTATGAGAGTAAATATTATTTTTATATATACCTCATACTTCTAATTTAATTGTGAGATAAAAAATAATTAATCTTTCTATTTACCATATCAAATTTTCTTCACATCATGATTTGACATATTATTCATTTCTGAAAAAGTAAGCAACGCTTCATACTTCAAACTATTTTCCATTTGAATTTAATGCTATAGTTGTTGCTGAAAATCAATGTCTGGATTTTGAAAAAATAAGTCGTGAAATTTGGAGCAGAGGGATATTGTCCCTTAAGACCAAATCAACGCACTTAATTTTTTTTTTCCAAAGTGCGTTAACATCGACCATATTAACGCACATTGAAAAATAATGCGTATGGCTTGGTCAATATTCTTGAAAATCTTAGGTCTGATAAATAACTTGTTGGGTAACTTTTCGGTGATAAGGTCACTTTAGGTTGCGAGTGGAACGATTTTGATTTTTCCATACTTTGAAAATTCCTCTATCTCTAAAATGTGGTACTGTACTTAAATTTTTCCAGTTTTCATGTATTTCATGTAAACCAAAATTTATTGAACGTTTTCGACGTCATTCCAGTTATGCAAATACATATATTTGGGTGTAGCATTGGCATCGGTACGGGGGGGGGGGGGTGGATGTAAAGGCAAACAAGACAGTCGTGTTCGAGTTTTCAACTCACGATATCCTGATCAAGGAGCGAGTACTCTTTACCGAATGACTTACCGTGAACTGTCCTTATTAAATGAGCTAAGATGGTGAGAAATCTATTCTAATTCTAAAAAAGGGTCTTTAAAATTAATTAATTAAAATTAACTTCAGCGTTTCCAAGCGGTATAAGTTAATTCTTTCTGGTGTAAAAATCCAATGGCAAAATGATAGTTCTTGTGTATAAAAATAGTTTTTTTCCTCGTTATAAAACTCAATAACTGGTTACAACAGTTCATCAAATCCAAAGTAAAATGGAATATAATCCAAAGAAATTAAACAAAATAAATCCAAAATATGAAGGAATAAAAGGCACTATAAAAGCACTCTTATATTTGACTCTATCACTACCTCTATATCAACTTCTACTAATTATTTAATTATCCAGTTTATATACTCTTTTGACTCCTGTTACTCCACTTAACTCCCGAAGTTCAAGTTTAAGTTCATTCATTCTCTCAAAACCATATTAAATACATGGAACATGAGGACAGTGAGAAATTTTTACAGCTTAAATATATTCAGGTCAAAGGTATAGGTTATACGAGCCGCCCCATGCAAAAAGGGCCCTTTAGGTTAAAATTTTCAGAATTGACTTTTCAATGGATTATGATAGCACACAGTGTAAAATAACCAAATATTAAGTTTCTTTCAAATATTCCAACTAATGACTGAGATACAGGCAATCAAAGTTTCATAAAATTTTGAAAAGACGTTAAAAATGGGGTTCTAAATGACGCTTAATCATTGAATCTTTTTATTTAGGTACTGGTTCCAGGATTGATAGATCTTAAGCTTTTTGCTTTTGTTTTTGATGCAATATTTGAAATAAATGTTCATGTAAAATTAATTCTAAATCATGCACTAATTGTCACAACCAATCTATTAAATGATAAATTTTAAATACGTATATACATAAAATCATAAAGGAAAGAAAACGTTTTTGGTCTCGATATCCGACAAGACATGTACATGTACGTACATTTAGGAAGTGTCAACATTTTCGCTAGTTGCACAAATATTGTCTCTCTGGTAATTCTAAATATAAATGAATTTGAAAAATCTGATTAAAAAATTAATAATTTCATGAAGTAACTTTTTATAAATAAAACACAGATAATGATTTTGCATCGGTGAAAAAAATGCTTTCGGTTTATTCCTATATAGTCATGTTTGGCATGAATATTTAAACAGGGAAAAAGAATTTATTTAAAAAAATTAATAAAAGCTATGCTTTTAAATATATTTTGTTATACAATACTTATCTTACATACTTGAAGTTGTATTTTACTTACATACAATATTTCCTTAAAAATTTAATCTATTAAGATAAAACAGAAAACATCATTACTGGTATATACAATAACTGTTCATTGTACACGTAATGGTTCATGAGACAATTTGAAAAATATTTCTAAATTCTCATCTCCGTCCGCCCTGATTTTTAGCCGGGCTTATTGCTCAAGAGCAATTGCCGGCTTATGTGATCCTGTTCAAGGCAGGATGTTAACCCTATAGTCGCTCTCAACCGCTTTTGAGATAATACAAACACTAAGTAAAGCAACAAAAAACGTTTTATCTATATAAAATAAACATTAGTAGTAAAGACTTTAAAAACTTCATAAGTCAAAGAACATAGTTCATTAGCGTAAGGATTTTTGATAATCAGTGTTACCGTAGTTCTCTACACATACGAGGTAAAGCAGGAGATGGAACCAGACTTGCCTGTTTGTTTACATTCAGCTGCGGTACCAGATTAATTCTGATTCTGACAAAATCGGACCGTGGTATTAGGATTGAAAAACTCACTGTCAGTGTCTTATCATTTATATTGATAGTTTTAAAATAATTTTTTCATCAGAATATAAACGTGATTCATGTAAGAAATCCATACTACTCTGTAATTAAGCCGAGCTCTCTGTACTTCTGAGTACTTTGATTTTAACCCCCGCCTCGACTTTTTTTTTATATCCGTTTTTCTTAATTATGATCGGGATGGGTATTCAACTACCACTCAACTCTTGTTGTAGCTGCAGAACTGTAGCTCTCCGGAAAAAAATATATTGACAGACCGGAGAGCTACAGTGCCACCCATTGAAAAAAAACTTTATATTGATATCTACAGTTCTGCAGCTACTCTGGTTGTAAATCCCGCAAATGTCGGCATGAAGACAAATGTTATTGGTTGTGAAAGATTGGTGATTATGTGAAATAAGAGATAAATGGACCTTTACTGCTTAAAAGTCTAACTTGTTATATCTCAGTATCGCCTCGTGAGCTAAAAATTGTGATGAAATTAAATGGATAATCTTGTATCTACATGTACACTGTATCAAGTGAGTTACTTCTGGTGGTATCGCCGACAATACCGAACATCACTGTGGTCTTGGGTCATTTTGTTTAATTCAAAAGAGGGAATGGATTATCCTCTCCTGAAATACATTTTATTTGTGTCTTTTTTTATTAAATCCTTAAATCTGACTTGTTTTTTATCCCCCCACCCACCCCCCGATCCGTGCATGCATGTTGTCTATACTACATGTACTTGTTAAATTTATACCGGTATTTATTTCAAATTAAACTCTACAAGCTTATTTGTAAGAAATTAAAAAAATATATATTCAAACGATACCCGGTATTTTACAGGGAAATAAGTAATTAATCTATGAGATAAAATTTCAAAGAATATTTTTTAAAAAGATATTTCAAGTATAATATCGCTTTATTTATTTGTAAATTAAATAAATATAATATTTGTTATATTAGTCTGAAGATGTTTTCTAAGGAACCAATTGCCCCAGCCCCTTTATATAGCTTATACCTTAGCCTATATGTCTCTATTTAAAAACATATAGCTGTTTTTTTTTTTTAATATTTGAGGTATTTCTTTCTTTCCCTTTTTACAGGGGGGGGGGGCGGGAATCTTAAAGATTTTGTTTTAATTTGATTTTCCATACTATCTCCTAAACATAAAAAAATTGCACAATGTATTTGTGATGTCAAATAATTTTGTACTTTTAAAAATACAATAATACTGACTCATGTCAATTTCGCTGTGACGGAGGCAAATCGTCATTTATGACGTCTATATAGATCTCAGTTGTAAAATTTTGGTACAAAATTTAGATGTTTATCTTGTTATGCATCTGCTTTATGAAGAATTCATCAACAAACTTTTTCAAATTTCTCGGCCTCGCTAGACCTCAGCAAAATATTAGTCGTGAATGTCAACAAACCTAAACATTAATTGTTGTAAAAGAATTTCTCTTGTAAAAATTTACACCGGTAATGATGGTTTTGTATTTAAAAAGGAAGTGTACATGATATGCGGAATTACATGCAGGTACAAACTCTATCAATACATAAACATGGGATAATGCTAACAAAAAACAATATTTGTTTGATGTACTCTGACTGACCCGACAAAATCGCATCCATCCAATAATTTTTTTCAGCACTTTGAATTTTTTTTTTCAGTTTCCAAAGTATAATTTATCTATGATGCTTTCATTGATATTTTTAAAGTAATAAATAATAAATATGTATATCTATCCAGTGTGTCAGAAAAACATCAATAAATTTCTAAGTCTGTGATGTACATGAAAGTTATTTTATTCAATACTGTGAAGATAAAAAAAAAATCTACCTACCTACTCACTTAAAACAATGAGCATGAGGGTCGGAATACAAACAAAAATATTTTTTATGATGGCCTAAAAAATCTTATGATACGAATAGTTATCATCTTTCAGCAAAATTATGCTCAATATTTGAAACT